GAAGGGTGAGAAAACGGAGAAGAGTACCCACCGACAGGACGGAACCGACAGACCCTAAGGGACAAGGAACCGAACCCGGAGAGGGGCCAACGCCCAGCAACTCGTACGCAGAGGGGAAGAAAAGGAAAAGCCCCACTCCCCGTAACCGTAAGTCCCGCTCAGAGGGTAGAAAACCTCGGCAGAGTCCAGCAGGGCCCGACGCCCCCCACCCCCAAAGTCAACCCCTCCCCAGCCCTGGGAACCTCTACGGCAGGCCCTGGGGCCAAGCCATCCCCCAAAAACTCCAGCCCCACAAGAAAAAGCCAGGGCAACCGGATAAACATTTTATGCTTCATTGGGTAGAACATTTTTGGGTGGGTTTCAGAATTATTATTAAACAATTAGTGCTATTTTTGGTTCTGTTCTACATTTATCTTTACATCTTTGTAGTATTGTGTCAGCAGGTCAAACATTGCTGTTTACTTATTTGTGTATTTACTTGCAATAAATACACAAATAAATAAAAAGCAATATTAATATTAACGTATTACAGGTCTCACTTGAAATTACTGTATTCAGTTAGTTAAATAATTTGAATTAAATTCGATTATGGATACGTCATGAGTCAGGATTCCATTGGTTTATTGCCATGTGCTATTGCCAGCCATGAGCGTGGCTCTTCTGAATGTCACTTGACAACCTACACTCCCAATAAGGCTTGAAGTTTCTAAAACAGTACAGTGCAGAAGATCAAAAACTGATAGCAAAGTGAAGTGAACTGAACATGGATGGAGAATCTCAAGTATGCCTCCATCATGAAGCTTTGCTGTTGACGAAATTTGAATTTTTGCAAAAAACTTGCTGCAATCCCCTTTAATAAGAAATGCCATGTAAAGCGAAAAGATTTGCGACTAATAACAGCAGCTACTGCAGTTGATAATCCTAGGTTAAGACTCCACATGAAGCTTGGGAACCTGTCAGACACCCAACTAACAGGCTTGGGAACCTGCGAGAAAGTGGCCCGCCCGTGGATAGCCTTGCCTGGCTATCGGGCGTGGCCCCTAGGCGATGGGGTTGCCAATCTTTTAGATTGGTAATGGCTCAGCCACCATGGACCAAAGCAAGGCTTACACTAATAATGGATAAATTTGCCTTCTGTAAATTGCCATGCTCTGGATTTGACAGCCTGCAATAGCCTACAATATAGGTATGCCTCGCATATAAAAGTGTAATTTTCAGAGTCCTGTGGCAGAACTAGGAATTCAGATCCCAATCTGAATAAAAAGTTACTCTTGTACAGAAAAATCTGCTCTATCCAATGGTATCATTCAAAACCGAATTGGGAATGATGCATACTGAGATAATTTGAGATATATTGGTAGTGATTAGCATGGATTGGTAGCTGAACGGCTACCCAAACTGCATTTTTTATTACACTGCTGTATTCCGCACCAAAAGTTGCCCTGGTATGCAAAATTTCACACCTCTCTGGGCACTGGTCGTGATTTAATAAAGGATCAAAGTTGGTAATTTTTGTGGTATTTACGCATTAACGGTACGAGAGCCCATTCAATATCGACCTGTTATTTAAGAACCAAAGCAGATTGAGCTCTAATATTTTGCACAGTTTCATTTGGGGTCTAGGGCTACTTTATTACAAAATTTCATTAGATTTAGAAAGGGTCAAGTGGGAGGCCTTTGATAAATTCACATGGAATGACCCCTTGGTCCACCGGGACGTGTGCACTCATGGGGACCAAGCAGAGGGTACCACCGGAATAGAGAGGAGTACTCAGTACACAGTAGGCAATAACCAAGGCAGACCCCCCCCCCCCCATGCAGGCAAACAAAAGAAAAAGAAAACCCCAAAGAGGACAGTGTACCCAGGAAGAACAGAGCCGGCTGCTATGAGAGGTGAAAACAAGTTGCGCAGTACCCTGTGCCCCTTACCAGTGCAAACTGCCCCCTACCCTTAGGCGAACAAGGAAGACAGAACACACCAGCACACAAAGGGAGGCCAAAAACCGAGCAGTAAACGGCCAAGCAGAGGCAGATCCCAAGGAACCTGTGGAAGGTGACCCCAAGCCCCAAGGGCACTACTTACTGGGCACCTAGGGAAGGGAGCCCTTGGCACATGCAGCCCGAGTACTGAAAAAAATCTCCTGGCTCGCGCACCACCTAGAAGACAGTCACCACACACAAGGCATAGTGCTGATACAACCATTGGAGCTAGAGCACATGACCGCTGCCCGCTGCTAGTAGCAGTTCTGAGGCATCAGCCTCAGAACTGGGGTGTGGATGGCCGGCATGGGGGTCTGGGGCTCCCCCTTCCCCCTCCAGGGAAGGGGGGAGCTGCATAGAATGAGGCGTGGCGATGTGTGACGTCATGCTCGTTTGCTTGTTTCTGTTTGGGGAGTTTTATCCACTTGTTCGGCTTTTTGTAGCCATTTTCACCAGAATAGGGGTTTGTTTTGGGACGCTTACCTTTCTGGGTGCCTAACCCAGTCGATGGCAAACATAGAATGCTTCCAACCACACGGGGGTTTCTATAGGCCATTGCTCCTTGTGCCTCTGTGAGGGGGGGGGGCCAGGTTCTGGCTTGTGGTCCCCAGTAGGCCCACAGAACTCCATACACATGACTGAACAGCAAATGAGCTGTCTGGGAGAAACTTCAGCATGCCCTAGCTATCTGAAGAGCTAGTTGCACCAGCCACAGCTCACCCCACCAACTAACAACACTCCTTTACCAAGGAAAGCCTAGAGCCCCCGATGCACCCCAAGGGTGAAGACCACCACAAGCAAGGAAATCCTCTAATGGAGAGTGATTACTGAATACCCCAGGGAAGATAACCCTGACCATGCAAGGGCAGTACTTACGTAGAACCTAGGAAAGGTGACTCTAGGCACATGCAGCTCCAATACTCTGCACATGTCCATGCAGGAACAGCTTCATAAGACAAAACAGAAATAAAATGGGAAACTGTGACCAGAAAGAGCCAATAACTGCCAGACATGAGCATCAGTCAAGAATTAGCTAGTGGCGGCCAAGTTCACCCGGGCCGGCCGGCTGGTGGAGCTAACGTGCAGAAGGCTTGTTGGATAAAGTTTTGGTTGTTTGTTTCTTGGTGGGGAGTTCTTTTGATAGAAGGCATAGGTTGCATTTTTCAACCAGACAGTAGTCTGTTTTGATTAGCTTACCTTTCTGGGTATCTTCCATGGTCGATGGCAAGATGACAAACTTTAAATGTATAGTGTTCGTGGGCCATTGCTCCCTGCACCTCTCTAAGGGGGCCAGATTCTGGCTCGTAGTCCCTGGTAGGTATATAAGAACTCTGCGACTGATGACTCCAATTAGTATGGCACTTAATCAGTATAAATAGCTTCATGGGACCGACAGGGCTCCCTTAGAATCCTGATCCCTAAAACCCAAGCAGGGTAGCTCCGGGGCCTCCAACTGGGTAATCATCCTGGCGCGTTGCAAGAACAAGAATCGAGCATGCAACGAAGCCGCCACCCGATTCCTGAGATCAACAGACAATGAATGAATAAATTGAAGTACAAGCGGAAAACAAGTCCCACAAGACTCTGGGTTGTAGGTGTCCCTGACCGAATGGAGCCAGTACGGATGATCGTCACCCTGAGGCAAGGGCGGCAAGAAGCCTTCAACTTCACACAAGGCGAGAGTGGACTTGGAAGAGGTATCCATGATACCAATGAGCCCATGGGAATTTATCAGGGCTCTCAGGGTAAATTAGCCCTACAGGAAGCCCAGACACTGAGGCCAGCTAAGCTGGTAGAACCCCTGTCTAGTAGCAGGAAAAATGACCACCAGTAAGTAGCAGCAGTGAAACCTCAGGGGCAACAAAGGAAGACCACCAACACCACCTAGGCTAGCCAAATAAGAGGCTAGGCAGACCATCTCCATCCACAAAAGGCAAAACACTTGAAAAGGAAATTAAAACACCCCGAAAACACACAACAAACAAACTGGCAGTCAGTGAGAAGCATTGGTTGCTGCGTTGAAATAAAGGAGGCTGCGCCAGCTGCAGTAAACCCAACCCAGCCAAAAACACTCCCCAACCCGGGGCAAGACAGAAAGCCCAAGACCCCCAACCTAAGGGCAAAGATGACCTCAAACGATGAAGTACTCTAATGGGGAGTGAGTCCCGAATGCCCCAGGGAAGACAATCCTGAAATGCACAGTTAGTACTTACAGAGCACCTAGGAAAGATAGCCTTAGACACATGCAGCTCCGTGTACAAGAAGACACCTGGCCACCACAACGCACACTGCTGGTACAGCCACACAGGGCAAAATCCAGAACAGGAACTTGAGGCCAGAGGTAACCGAGCTAACCGCCAACACATCAGTTCAAGAACTGGAGTGGTGGGTTGCCGGCTTCCCCTCAACCCCTCGCTCACCTCCGAAATCATCTCCTGACAGAGATGATTTCGGAGCTTAGCGTTCCCCCGTGGCCCAGTCCTCGACCAGGCCTCCTTTTTGTTTCACATCCGCAGGAAGCAGCCTATAGCAGCTTTTAACTACCAGGTACCTATTTACTACTAGGTGAACAGGCGCATCAGGGTGAAAGAAACTCTGCCCATTTGTTTCTGCCTCCAACGAGGATCGAACCCGGAACCTTAGGACTACGAATCTCAAGCGCTGTCCACTCAGTTGTCAGGCCCCTTTGTAGGGGGAACGGGGGAAAAGGTCAGGGGGGGAACTTGTTTGTTTTCTTCTGCTATGTTCAAACATAGGTTGCAATTTTTACCAGGTTGTGGTTTTGCCTATCTTTCTGGGTGCCATATCCAGTCGATGGCAATTGTGACATACTTTAAATATAAAGTGTTTATAGGCCATTGCTCCCTGCACCTCTCGGAGGGTACCAGATTCTGGTTTATGGTCCCCCAGTAGCTATAAGGACTCCTGTGACTGATGACCACAATTACTATAGCACATATCAGTTCGGATAGCTTCAGGGAGCCGAGGGGGCTCCTCAAAGAAAAGAAACTCATACATACTTGTATAAAAAGTTTGTCCATGCACTGCAACCAATGTCATAAAACTCTTCATCTCTCAACTTAAGAGCTGTTTTTAGGGATGCCAAAACCTTACGGGACACTGGAGAAACATACTGTCTTCCCATTACAACTAGCAAGTCACTCAGCGACCATAAAGCAGAGCGCTTCTCTCTGAAACAAAAAATATCCACTTTTACAAAACATAAATAATTAATGAAATAAACAGATTTGGTGTAAACTCAAGAGATTCAAAGTTAAATGCAGAGTTTATAGACCTTAAGTAAAATACATTATTCTTTCCATATTAATTCCTGAACTGCACAAGAAATTCAGGAGGCACTCCCTAGGTGCACAAGAAAGATAAATAAATAAATAATTTTGCCTTCTTATATTGCTAAAACATGGTCCCTGATCATGGGAACATTAAAATAACATTTGTAAGTCACTTTGGGTAAGTAAAATGAAGCAGACCTGATGACAGCATCAAATCTACTTAGGAAGCAATCTCCTGGTCACTCATGGAGGGGCGTATTGTTTCCATTTTTTTTATAATTTCAAATGTTGCATCAATGGGTTTTTTAGTGCAATTACCAATTAGATTTAAATAGTGGAATGTTAATTACAGAATGTGTGGAACATTGGTATTGTTATTGATTTCAATCCTGTATTCCTCTATTCCTCCAAACAAGAATCATGATGCCCTGATTGTATACAACTACAAGATATGTGGGGTGGGGGGGACGTTCCGATATGGCGAAGGCAGGAGGTGCACACAGCGTCTCTTCTACAAACATTCACAATACCTTTGAGGGTTTTAAGAAACCACTGTCACATGGCACACACATATAGATTACCCATATATCACCATATATATAGATCACACACATATATCACCCAATCTTAGAGGAGGATCCAGATGGAAGTTTCCAGGACAGTAAACATCACAGTAAGGCAAACAGATTAGAGGCGCAATGCCGCCATCATACAGAGGTAAATAGAAACCACCCCGGCCCCACGTGGAATCAGTATCAACATCCACCACTCGACCAAGGTATGCAGAGTTCTGGTCTGTAAACTTTCATCATTGCCTTTGATGACAAAGATAGGAGTGTTTTCAGAAATAGCAGAGCACAAAGTATCCTATATCATGCCATTCCCAATATATTCAAAATCGAAGTGCACGATATCAGACCTAATAAACAAAGGAACTTAAACACAGTGGACCACACAGACAAAAACAAACCTTTACAAAGAGTGCTGGGTAGACGGGACACCATGAGCGTAGCTCTCATCCTGTAACTACACTTAAGTAATTACAGCGAGGAACTAGAGTTTTCAGACGTTACTGACAATACGTGGATACAAAGTCAAATGTTACAAACTACTAGGAGCCAGATTAGCAAAATATGTGATCCGACATGTTGTAGACATTAGTGCAGACGACATCAAGGCAAAACTTCAGACAGATGACATTCCAATCTTCGGAATAAAAAATTTATGCGAAGAACAAATGGAGAACTGAGTGATACAGGTACTGCTCTGCTTACCTTTCTAGACTACATTTCCCTGATAGTGTTTGGTTTAATCGCTACCTCCATAAACTAGAGGTGTGTGTACCACGTCCCACTCAGTGCTTCAGATGTAAAGGTTTTAATCATACCTCGAAAGGCTGCACCAAAGACATTAAATGTGGAAAATGCTCTGGTTCCCATTATACACACAAGACTGTGTATCAGATATACTCACTTGCTCAAACTGTGGTGGCAATCATGACATTACATTCAAACATTGTCCTTCATACATAGCAGCAGCAGCAGCAAAAACTAAGGTTATCCCTACCACCAACCTGCAATTCAGTAGTGCACTGAAACAACCTAACTCAGGCCATCATCAATCACTAACTCACAATCAACCACAACCTTTGTGTGTACCTGATATGTCTGTCACTGACAATCCTGCACCTCCAATCCTGCTCCCACAAAATGTACAACAGAGTTCCAATCTTGTTGAAACTCTTGTCACTCGCATTGAAAATGCACTAGAAAAGAAACTGGACCAACTTCTAACTAAATTCTTTACACAAGTAACTCAACCCATCCCTGAGGCTGACCCAACAGACATCCCATCAACATCTGCAGACAACGACATCCGCCCAAACACAGCTTCCATTGCCGGATTCACGTCGTTTGAACTGATAATGAAAAACTCCTAAATAACTCCTTAGCATGCCTTACCAAAGTTACTTCCCCGGGTGATTTGCCACAAACCCCAACCACCAGCGCTAGGAATAAGAAATCCTCAGCTGTACAAACTTTCCAACGACCTGACATTTTGACAGAAAAACCACAAACCACATTCTCCCACGACACATCCTCCAACCACTCCAAGATATTCAACACGCTGTACTACTGGCATGTCAAAGAAGACCGATGTAATCACATCCCAGACACAAAAATCTGAAATACGAACACATAACAACCCTTCTTTAACTAACCTACACTAACCAAACCTAACCTATCTTACGCCAACCTAACCTAACCTAACCAACCCCCAACCTAACCTAACCTAACCCAACCTAACCCACCCTACCCCAACCCAACCTAACCTACTCCAATCTAACCTAACCTACCACAATCTAACCTAACCTACCCCAAATCTAACCTAACCTAACCTACCCCAACCTAACCTAACCTACCCCAACCAAACCTAACCAACCCCAATCTAACCTAACCTAACCTTACACTCATTAACCCCACATTACTTAATGTACTCTAACTCACTCTACCATAATCTACCCTACCTTATCTGAATTGTGACTAACTCCCAAACTTACTTATTCACAATCTCACTCTCTTGACTAAACCACACGCTTTTTATAAAACAGCAACACTTGGATACCACCATCAACACAACTCATGTTTGCCATCCTAAGTCCATTTACACTCATATGTTTATTTTTGTCTTTATCCTCACACAAACAGAAGACATCAATAACTTCCAACCACTGCCAAATCATGAACATTGATGCGCCACCATAGGTGCCACATCTATCAACATCACCACTCGTGCAGTCATCGGGAGGAAAAACCTTCATGCAAACTCTACATATTTTTTTTTTTTTTTTTTTTTTTTTTTGAGATATATACAAGAGTTGTTACATTCATGTACAGCCACTAGTACGCGTAGCGTTTCGGGCAGGTCCCTGGAATACAATCCCCTGCCGCGAAGAATCGTTTTTTCATCCAAGTACACATTTTACTGTTGCGTTAAACAGAGGCTACAGTTAAGGAATTGCGCCCAGTAAATCCTCCCCGGCCAGGATACGAACCCATGACATAGCGCTCGCGGAACGCCAGGCGAGTGTCTTACCACTACACCACGGAGACTGTAAATCGCGAAGAAGAAGAAATGTGAGTTGACTTTATTCATTTAGGAGGAAGCCTGATGTGGCATTTGAGAGAAATTGCTATTTATGTTCATTTGGGATGAGGCTTCAAGCGTTTCCTCCACGATAAATATGGCAGAGAAGACCCAGTGGAAGAGGAGAGATTTGCTGCTCCCGGGCCTCCCAGTGCATTACGGGAGCAGCTCGAGCTGGGACGTGATTGGTCAAGAGCAGGGGCTTGGTAATGTTGACCAAAGGCTTTGCACCCCAGGCGTGACATGGGATGACATCAGGAGCCCCTGCATGCTTGGCGCGAGAGAGAAGGCACTAGTTGCCCCGTGATCTGAGCCGAGTAGGGGTGTTCTCGTGGGGCTCAACTATCTAGGTGTAGTATAGGCCTCCAGAGTGCATAACTCGGCCAGATGACGACAAGGAAGATCTGTTATCTCCTACAGGAGTAGAGGGTAACTTGGTTGCAGTGCTTTCCTGGTGATGACGACACCATGGGTCAGAAGTCGACAGTGACTTGAGACCTTCATGAGGCTGTGCTGGGTGGAGTGTGTGGCTTTCCTGCGGGCCCCGAGCGTCAGAAGCTGTGAAAGGCCAAATCAGGAGCAGTCCTGGCCTGCTGAGAATCAACGTTTGTTTACCCGGCGACAAGGCTGCGTGAGAGGCAGCAGAGCAGTGTGTGAGCATGTAGACTGGGAGGAGCCAGCCTACAGCAACCTTAACCTGTATGCCAAGGAGTAGCACTGCGGCTTCTGTGTTGATCCGGTTTCCCTTCTAAGTAAGTACTAAGTAAGCCCCAAGGGCAGCACTTACAGGGCACCTAGGGAAGACAGCCCTAGGCACATGCAGCCCGAGTACCGTGGAATTTTACTCCTGGCTCACACCCCACCGGTAGAGACAGTCCACACCACAAGGCACAGAACTAGAACTGAAACAAAAACCGGAGCCAGAGGCACTCGACCAGCCAGTAATACCTTCAGCCAAGAACTGACAGTTCGATCGCCGGCGTGGAGGGTTTGGGGCTCCCCCTTTCCCGTCTCGGGGAGGGGGGTGGTTGCGCAGACGGTGGCGCGGCGATGTGATGACGTCATGCTAGTTTGATAATTTTGTTTGGGGAGTTCTGTCCACTCATTCGGCTTTCGGTAGCAATAATTTCCCCAGAATAGGGATTTGTTTTGGGGTGCCTACCTTTCTGGGTGCCTGTCCCGGTCGATGGCTGACATAGAATGCTCCCAATCACAAGGGGGTTTCTATAGGTCATTGCTCCTCGTGCCTCTCTGAGGGGGCCAGGTTCTGGCTTGTGGTCCCCGGTAGGCAAGAACTCCTAGCACTATGACTGTTGCCAGAAAGTTATACATATCCATTCAGCTTGAATAGCTCCGGGGAGCCGACGGGGCTCCCCCCAGAAAAGGTATGAAAATATATTTGTGGTAACTCGTGGGTGTTGAATCTCCGACGCGACCGCCTCAAGTAGCCTCCCGCACAGGTGAACTCGTAACAGTGATATCATTTGTTCTTTTCTGCACTTCGCTACCGCCAGAGTGCTTATTCATATTGACTTTTACATTTATGTGCTCAGGGAAAAGATTTGAACAATATAACAAGAAAAATTGTTTAGTGGAAAATTTTGAACTTTATTTTTGCTGCACCACAAGTTTGTCAAACTTTATATCTGTGCAGCACCAAGGTTAAGTGAGCTGACATTCTGGTTGAATACTGATAGGCTAGTGCTATTTTTTAGTTTGTTTTTTGTACTACAAAAAACTTACTGTGATGTGAAGTACCTGCAGTAGTGATGATCAGTGTACTGGTTATTGTAGATGTGTGATAGCAGATTTAGTTTGGGATCAATGTCAGTTTGCATGCAGTGAGAGTTGAGAAGACTGTTTAGGGATATTCAGATTAGAATATAAGGGAGGTGTGTGACAAAAGGGTGAAAATTGGAGAATTGTCTACAATATTAAAACAAGCAAAAATGTTGTTGCATGCAAGGTACTAAATTTAAGAAAATAATATGTATGGTAATATAGAAGCAAACAAGGAACTGATAACTAATATTACTGAGTGAATATATAACTCCTGGGTTTATTAATTATGTAAGTAACATTTGTTAAATAGAAGTCAAAACAATCCCATGGTGAACTGACTCCTTGTTTCAGTGAAATATTAAATACAACCATTTATGGTGTTACAAAATAATAAACTCAGGATATATATATATTTACTCAATAATATTAGATATCAGTCCAGCTTCATTTTAAGGATTACTTTTAATTATTCTTATAATTACATTTTTACTGTAATTATTCCTAGATTTAGCATTTTAGTGTAATTAGTTTCTTTATATTGTATTTAACTCCTGGACCCTAGTAACTTGCTAAATTGAATCTCATCATGAATTCTTGGAATTACAATTAAATTAACAAATTTCACTTTAATCTGAACATAGCATTGAATTATATTTAAAAACAATTAATTTGTTATGGTGCACTCAGGACAGGTGAGCCCTGGGTGGACCATATAGAAGCTGTCTATGGTTGTTTGTGTGGCAATAGGTCAGAAATGGTGTCTTATACCCAAAACAAAAAAAGCTCATATCAAAATTACTTGTACATAGTAGACGAAGAGACAAGTTTACTATCGAGAAATCCCAATATTCCAAGAAGACGGGGTGCTAGATATTCAGCAATATCATCTGATCCCAGAGAAGTGCTGCCATTATCCGAGAAATTTCCTTTACTATGGGTGGGCTGTTGATCACTGCTTAACTCAATGAGCCTCATCTGAGAAAATTCCCGAAGAACAGTGTCACGGTGCTCATGAAGTCCGAGAACTAATTCATTGACTTGGTTCTGTTACAAAAAAAGTTAAATTGTTAGTACAGTATAAGTTTAAAAACTAGAGTTTAGACACCAAAAATAAAAATAGCCCCTTTCTATGGCACTTCAATAATGCCCCTATGCCTGGAGCTATGGACCCTAGAAGGACACAGTCACTGTGCCAGCACCTATGACTGTGATCCAGAGAAAGAGCTTTTTCAAATTGCCTTATGAACCTGCACAATACAGTGGGTAGCTCAGTGAGGATTTGGTTTACCAAGGTCCACCTTGGCCACCTTCTAACCTTCCCCAGGATGCAACCCCACAACAGTTGCCCAATTCCCAGGTATTCCATTTACTCCTAGCTGAAGACAACCAGTGTTAACTGTAATGCAGCGCCAGTTTCTGGGTGAGCCCCAGAGGCACCCTGAAGCAATCATCACTGATTAAGTGCTATACTACTAAGCATCATCAGTTGCGAAGTTCTTTATGCCTTCCATTGGCTGTGAGAGAGACCCCAATACAACACAATGTCAGACCTCCAAAACCCCCTGCCAGAACATCTACCCTAGACATATTACCAAAAACGGCCAACAAAGCAGCATACTTGCGAATATCATGATAATAAGGGTAGACCACAGGCTGACTAGCTTTAATGAAACTGCAGACAACCTGAGAAACACAAGCTCTGGAACTGGAAACCAGAGAAACTGGATCAACCCACAACGAGTCCACTAAAACAAAACCAATTGCTCAAAGGTAGCCGCATAAAGCCACCACCAGACAAAGCACATCATGCACCCCTGCCTGAATCGACCAAGCTTTTACAACCGAATAACCCCCCCTGGAAGCCCGCCTTCTCATTCTTCGTTAGAAAAGAAGAAGCAGGCTGCACACGAACAATATGACTCCCCAGGAACATAGGAACAAAACCCCTGGTGCCGGAGGAGAGCATGAAGCTCACCCACTTGACCAGTCAGAAACCAGGGAAATAAAAAAAACAAAGCCTTCCAAAAAACCAGCATTGAATGTAATGAAACGCCATTTTCTGGGTGAGTCCCGGAGGCTCCCCGGAGCTATCCCAGGCTGATATACTAATGTCAGACTTTGGCATCAGTCATGTGTATGGAGTTCTTAGGCCTACCGGGGACCACGGCCAGAACCGGGCCCCCTCAGAGAGGCAAGGGGAGCAATGGCCTATAGAAGCCCCCGTGTAGTTGGAAGCATTCTATGTCTGCCATCGACCGGAACAGGCACCCAGAAAGGTAAGCGCCCCAAAACAAACCCCTATTCTGGTTAAAATTGCTACCTAAAACCGAACTAGTGGATAGAACTCCCCAACCGAAAACAAGCAAACTAGTGTGACGTCACACACTGCCGCGCCGCTGTCTGCGCAGCTCCCCCCTCCCCGGGAGGGGGAAGGGGGAGCCCCAGACCCCCCGCGCCGGCTACCCACACCTCAGTTCTTGAGGCTGGATGTCAAAAACGCGAAAAACCGCCGACCGGAGGGAGGGAGGGATGCCGGGGAGCCTCCGGGACTCACCCAGAAAATGGCGTTTCACTACATTCAACGCTGGTTTTCTGGGGGGAGCCCCGTCGGCTCCCCAGAGCTAACTACCCACAGACAGAAAAAGAGGGACTTACCCGGGAGGTGGTCGTCGCTCACCCCTCAACTCGAAGCCGAGACAACTGGCTGCAACCGCCGACCCAAAGCAACACAGGCCCGACGAGGCCCAGGGACATTCACAAGGTAACGAGCAGCCAGGACCCTGTTCGACCGCCAAAATCCCCGCGCCCGAATATCAGACCAAGACATATTCCCAAAGACGGCAGCAAGAGCCGCGAACTTACGAACGTCATGGGCACGGGGATAGACCGCAGGCTGGCTGGACCTAATAACCCTGCGGACGACCTGAGAGACCCGAACCCGCGAACAGGGAAGAAGGGAAACCGGATCAACCCACAGCGCGTCCCCGGACACAGAAGCAGTGGCGCGCAAATAACGGCGAAGCGCCGCAACCGGACACAAAACATGATGCACCCCCGGCCTGACCAACCAAGCATCAACCACCCATGGACCCCTCCGGAACGCAGCAGTCTCATTCTTCGCCAGAAAAGAAGGAGACGGCTGCAAACGAACAAAACTATCACCACGACCAAAAGAGCAGAAACCCCTGCGCCGGAGGAGAGCATGAAGCTCCCCTACCCGACCCCCAGAGGCCAAAGCCAACAAGAAAAGTGCCTTGGAAAAACAATCCTGGACCGAAGGGGCCACAACGAAACGAGGAGATGACAGGAAAGCGAGCACTCTGTCCAAAGACCAGGATGGCTCAGGCGACGCATGAGCAGGCCGGAGGTGAAACAATGCACGAGACAGCTTGCGAAACGGCGCAAACGTAACATCGATACCGAAAGCAAGCTGAAGCGGCTCCGCCAGCGCTGCACGATACGAAGCGACAGTGTTAGGCATAAGATGACGGTCCTGAAACAACCACGAGAGGAAGGACAAGACCACCCGAACAGACAAGGAGCTAACACGACGAAGACGCAAAAAGAAACGGAAGGACCGCCAGGAAACTTCATACTGCCGCCGAGAAGAAGCCCTCAGGTGGGACACCAACAAGGAGGCCACCTGATCACCATAGAGATGATGATAGACTCGAGTCAAAAAAACCATACGCGAAGACTCGAGGAGAAGATCGAACCAGCTACGTGACGTACCGGCCCGATCTGCTGAAAGAGGCGGAGCCGCGGGAAAACCCTCGGGTTCGGACACCGAGCAACCAGCGCCTGAAACCAAGGCTGGGCCGGCCACCAAGGGGCCAGAAGGACAACTCTCCCCCGGTAAGTCTCTAAGCGAGTCAGGACCTGGAGCAACAGCCGAACCGGGGGAAAGAGGTACAGGAACCCCCACCTCGACCAGTCGAGCCGAAAGGCATCGACCCCGACGGCCTCGCAATCGGGGAAGGGCGCCGCATAAACGGGAAGACGCCGCGACCACGCCGACGCGAAGAGGTCCACCTCGGGGCGCCCGAACGTCTGGCAAAGCCAACGGAAGGACTCGTCGTCGACCGTCCACTCCGTGGAGAGGGGAACGAAGCGAGACAGGGCGTCGGCCAAGACGTTGGACACGCCCCGTACGTGAACCGCCAGGAGAGCCAAACCCCGAGAACTCAGCAGACGAGTCACCCGAAGCGACCAACCCCAAATCGACAAGGACCGCATCGAACCCCCGCGGTTCAGGCAATGAACCACCGGCGAGCAGTCCGAATGAAGCCGAATCGTCGATCCGCGGGCCACCCGAATCCTCCCCAGAGCAAACCACACTGCCGCGAACTCCCGCACCGTACTGTGAGCTCGACGGAAGGACGGATCCCAACGCCCCTGGCCGGCCTGGTGAGCACTGGTCACAAAACCCCAGCCGAGAGACGACGCATCTGTGTACACATCGAGCGAGGGCTTGGGTAGGCGCCAAGGCACCGAACCCCGAAAAACCCGAAGAGGAAGCCGGTGACGCAGCAACCGATGCAAGTCCCCCGGGGGTCGAACTCTGCGATCGCGAGAGAGGCGGAAGGGGGAACCTCGAAGGAACCAGAACAGCCGTCGAAGCCAAACCCGACCCGGTGGGTAGACCACCATCGCGAAGTTCAGGCTCCCGCACAGCCCCTCGAGCAACCAACGGGTGACCCGAGGGCCCTCCAGAAACAGACGAAGGCGGGACCGCAGCCGCAGGAGAGACTCCGGAGGGAGAGACAAGGAGGCGGTTCGAGAGTCCCACACGAGACCCAGCCAAGTCCGAACCTGAGAGGGAACCAGATGGGACTTCCTCCAGTTCACCAAGAACCCGAACCCGGCGAGCTGGGAAAGAACCAAATCCCTGGCTAGCAAGCAAGCTGACTGGCTGGGAGCCCAAACCAGCCAGTCGTCGAGGTAGGCCAACACCCGAACACCTAGGAGACGCAAACGAGCCACCACAACCCGTGTAAGGCATGTGAACACGCGAGGTGCCAGGTTCAACCCGAACGGGAGACAACGAAAGCGGTAACTCAGACGCCCCACTACAAAACCGAGCCAGTCCCTGAACCGCGGATGAATCGGGACATGCCAATAAGCGTCCCGGAGGTCCAGGGACACCATCCAAGCTCCCGGCTCCAAGAGGAGCCGAACCTGAGACAGCATAGTCATCCGAAAGGAGGGGCAATGAACCCAGGGGTTCAGACGGGACAAGTCCAGAATGAACCGCAGGTCCGCGCAGTCCCGTTTCGGAACCGGAAACAGACGGGAAACCCATCTGAGGGACGACGTCGTTTCGACGACGCCCAAGCGTACCCACTCCAAGACGACTCGACAGAGCGCAGGGAAAGAAGCCTGCCCTGCCAGCCCCGACCCCCCAAAGGGGGGAGGGGCCACCCAACGCCACCGCAGGCCGCGAGACACGACCCGAAAGGCCCACGAATCGTGGGACCAGGCGCGGGCGAACAGCGCAAGCCGCCCCCCCATCGCCCCGTCAAAGGGGCAAACCGCGAAAGGGCCGGCGACCCTTACGAGACCCAGAACCCCGCACAGCGCGAACACCGCGCCGACCAGACGAGGGATGGTCCGCAGGAGGAGCCAACCCCAAACCTGACACCAGAGGCCTACCACGACGAGAGGAACCCCGAGCCCTGGCACGACCTTTCCGGGAAGACCCACCCCGGGACCCCCGGAAAACCAACAAGTCCGACATCGGACGACAAGCCGCCGACGCAGCCTGAATAAACTGCGCCACGGCCGACTCCCCAAACAGGAGAGGACAAAAAGGTGAAGAACGCCTCAGAGCCAGAGCCCAAGCAGATTCCACGGAGGAACCCAGCACCGCCTGCCGACACGCGAGACGGGAAGCATAGAACAGGGAAACCGCATCCCGCAAAATCGGCGTGAACAGCCTCAAGGCAGCCGACGAACGCGCAGCCGAGGACAAGGTGCCGGACCCCGGGACGGACCCAAGCGTCCCCACATCCTCCACGAGCCAATCCGAAGACAGCTCCAGGAGG